AACCCTATTCCTGGCGGGGGGGGGGGCCTCAGGAGCCCCCCCCCCTGAGGTTTTTTGGTTATATCTCCCAAACGCGTTGAGCTAGGAAGCTCAAATTTTCTGACTTTTCCTAAAAGGCTTCTACGCAACATGTCTGAAAATTTTGAGTTGATCTGACCTCAGGTCAGGTCACCAGAGGCGGTTTGGTGACGCTACCTCAGAAAAGTTTGCAATCACGCCAGAGCTAGAGTTTTTGACCGATCAATTTCTTCTCTTCAGGGTTTAGTTAGGGTACCAGTATGTGCAATTTGTATATCTCGGAATTTTGATATCGGTGACCTAAGGTCAGGTCAATTTCGCGACCTCCCCATTATAAGTCAATGGGGGAAAAATCAACTCCCTGTTTTTACCACTAAAACGGGTCGGAATGGCCCCATATACCATACATGACTTCATATACGATCAACCTTCACTACCTTGAGGTCTGTTTTGCTGTTGGGCAGCTGTGAGGTCATGTAACGTCATCAAAGGTCACCAAAGGTTTTTGGCCAATAACTCCGTACAGGAACAAGATACAGACGCGTGGATGGTCTCATTGTGTTCAGCTCGTCAAGACGCATCGAATGATATACATGATGACCTTGAGGTCACGTGACCTGAGGTCAACCTTTGACCTTGACCTTTCGAGGTCAACATATATATCATTCGATGCGGATTGACCAGAGGATCACGATGATGCCCTTAGTTTGTTCCTATCTTGACTAATTCGAAAGTTATTCGAGAAAAACTCTCTCCATATCTAGTGCCTCCATTTTGACTTTTTCGACCCCTGTGACGTCATCTTTGACCTGACCTGAAAATGACCTTTGTAAAAATTGTAGATCGTGGCCGTGCGTATCCGATGCCGTTTACCGCTTGTCGCTATCTTGCTTCGTTCTCGAGATCTCAGGGGGGGGGGCGAATCGGCCCCCCCCCCCCGCCAGTTTCTTGTCCCGGCGGAGCCCGCCAGGAATAGGGTTAAGCCCCACATCTGGCCTATGAGGGCCCCTAACCGGCCTCAGGGGCCCCAACCGGCGTCTGAGCGTCTCACACCGGTCTCTGGTGGCCTTATTTCTGTCTCTGGTGTCCTAAGACGAGCCTTTAGATCCAATGAGGGCCCCGCACTGGCTGCTAAAGACCCGATGCCGGCCTCTAAGGGCCTGCATTGGCCTCTGAGGAGGGCCCATCTTGGCCTTTGATGGCCCTCTGCTGGCCTCTGGGGTCCAACGACGGCTCATGCCGGTCTTTTAGAGCCCCACGCTGACATCTGAGGGCCAACAGCCTATAATGAGTAAGGACCCACATTAGCCTCTGAGAGCCCAACTCGGTCTCTGATGGTCTCAAACTACTGGCCTTTGCAGTTTGCAGGCCCTGTACTGGTCTCTGAGGGCCCTAATATGGCCTCTAAGTGAAAACATACATGGGTGGGCTTCTGAAGATCAGAGGGCTTACGCAGACTCCTGTACAGTGTACAGCCTTACGTTGGTCCTGATCGAGATCACTTTACGTCCTGATGGTCCCGCGTAGATTCCCTCATATTTCGACATCGGGACCCCATGAGCCGTTGTAGTTCTTGGGGCTGGCAGAGACTGATGAAATCCTCAGGGCTCAGGGCCAGTCTTTTCAGCATGAGGACTAGGCGGGTTGAGTGAGCCCCAATAGAGCCGTTACGAAGCCCGCAGGAGTCGCGCGCGGCCCTCAGATGCCAATTTTGAAAGGCAGGAACATTTGGTCTCCAGAGGTCGGTCACTAGGTCATCGAAAATAATTGCGTTTTAGGCAAGCTGAATTTACTTTTTGTGAAGTTTTTTGACTGCATTTTTGGTAAAAGCTTCTCAGATCATGATTTCATGTAATATGGACACAAAAACAATCGGTGCACACATCAGTATACACACAGACATACACAGACATGCAAACACATTTAATTGACCTTGACCAAACTTGACCTGAAATGACCTCAGCAGCAAAAATCTGGTCGGGTAGTGTGACAAAGAGGTTCTAGCTGGCTTGGCACCAAAAAACAGCATCGTCATCGGTATATGATAAGCAGCGCACTTGATATCCAACGGTGACCCAAAACAGCAACATTTTTTAGTTTGACCTAATCTGGAAGGTCAATGACTGACCTGAGAAGGTAAAACTGGGTATCATTGGATTTGTCTCTTCCCAAAGAATCTTTTTGGTCTTTACCACTATGCTCTATCTCCAACAGAAACGAAATGGCGCGGGGGTGGCAACCCCCCCCCCCCATGTGCGTTCTAGGATGGGAAAATGGCATGTGCGGGCGAGGGTTAATTAAAATGAGATGGTTGTTGTCTGCGGTGCATGGTTATTTTTCTTAGCGCGTGTCATTAATCGAAATGGCCGCAGGTGGGGCAAGATGAGCCATTTTCACCTGGGGGAAGATGAGCCGGATAAGCCATTGTTGTCTCCGCTGTCGAAAACCAAACTGAGCTGCGCTTGTTTCTACTGAATAAAAATTTTAGGGAAAAAATGACCTGAATATTTCCTCAATTATTTTTGACGCCCTTTCGAATGCCGCTTACCGCGTGTCGCTGCGTGGTCCAGGAGCCGAGTTAGACGGGGGGAGGGCGTGAAATCGCCCCCCCCCCCCATTACGACACGGAAAACTCAGGCCACCAGCACGGCGCGGATTAAGTTTTCGTCGTGCTCGGCCGCTTTTTGCGTGAGTTGTTTGTGAAAAACCGAAGGGGTTCGGTTTGAACCCCTATAAACGCGAGATTAATGTAGCCGTAGGCCGAGCTAGAATCGACACTGCAGCGACAGACGAAACTCAGCAGGTAACATACGGACTCCCCGCCCCGTGTATCAGCCCGCGGCCAGGTGTATGTGTTTGTGTGGTCTGTGCTGAACTGCCTATCCCCGCCCTGTGTATCAGCCCGCGGCCAGGTGTATGTGTTTGTGTGGTCTGTGCTGAACTGCCTATTCCCGCCCTGTGTATCAGCCCGCGGCGGGGTGTATGTGTCTGTGTGGTCTGTGCTGAACTGCCTATTCCCGCCCTGTGTATCAGCCCGCGGCCAGGTGTATGTGTTTGTGTGGTCTATGCTGAACTGCCTATTCCCGCCCTGTGTATCAGCCCGCGGCCAGGTGTATGTGTTTGTGTGGTCTGTGCTGAACTGCCTATTCGCGCCCTGTGTATCAGCCCGCGGCCAGGTGTATGTGTTTGTGTGGTCTGTGCTGAACTGCCTATTCCCGCCCTGTGTATCAGCCCGCGGCCAGGTGTATGTGTTTGTGTGGTCTATGCTGAACTGCCTATTCCCGCCCTGTGTATCAGCCCGCGGCGGGGTGTATATGTTTGTGTGGTCTGTGCTGAACTGCCTATTCCCGCCCTGTGTATCAGCCCGCGGCCAGGTGTACCTATGTGTTTGTGTGGTCTGTGCTGAGCTGCCTATTCCCGCCCTGTGTATCAGCCCGCGGCCAGGTGTATGTGTTTGTGTGGTCTATGTTGAACTGCCTATTCCCGCCCTGTGTATCAGCCCGCGGCGGGGTGTATACCTATGTTTGTGTGGTCTGTGCTGAACTGCCTATTCCCGCCCTGTGTATCAGCCCGCGGCCAGGTGTACCTATGTGTTTGTGTGGTCTGTGCTGAGCTGCCTATTCCCGCCCTGTGTATCAGCCCGCGGCCAGGTGTATGTGTTTGTGTGGTCTATGCTGAACTGCCTATTCCCGCCCTGTGTATCAGCCCGCGGCGGGGTGTATATGTTTGTGTGGTCTGTGCTGAACTGCCTATTCCCGCCCTGTGTATCAGCCCGCGGCCAGGTGTACCTATGTGTTTGTGTGGTCTGTGCTGAACTGCCTATTCCCGCCCTGTGTATCAGCCCGCGGCCAGGTGTATGTGTTTGTGTGGTCTATGCTGAACTGCCTATTCCCGCCCTGTGTATCAGCCCGCGGCGGGGTGTATATGTTTGTGTGGTCTGTGCTGAACTGCCTATTCCCGCCCTGTGTATCAGCCCGTGGCCAGGTGTACCTATGTGTTTGTGTGGTCTGTGCTGAGCTGCCTATTCCCGCCCTGTGTATCAGCCCGCGGCCAGGTGTATGTGTTTGTGTGGTCTATGCTGAACTGCCTATTCCCGCCCTGTGTATCAGCCCGCGGCGGGGTGTATATGTTTGTGTGGTCTGTGCTGAACTGCCTATTCCCGCCCTGTGTATCAGCCCGCGGCCAGGTGTACCTATGTGTTTGTGTGGTCTTTGCTGAACTGCCTATTCCCGCCCTGTGTATCAGCCCGCGGCCAGATGTACCTATGTGTTTGTGTGGTCTGTGCTGAGCTGCCTATTCCCGCCCTGTGTATCAGCCCGCGGCCAGGTGTATGTGTTTGTGTGGTCTTTGCTGAACTGCCTATTCCCGCCCTGTGTATCAGCCCGCGGCGGGGTGTATATGTTTGTGTGGTCTGTGCTGAACTGCCTATTCCCGCCCTGTGTATCAGCCCGCGGCCAGGTGTACCAATGTGTTTGTGTGGTCTGTGCTGAGCTGCCTATTCCCGCCCTGTGTATCAGCCCGCGGCCAGGTGTATGTGTTTGTGTGGACTGTGCTGAACTGCCTATTCCCGCCCTGTGTATCAGCCCGCGGCCAGGTGTATGTGTTTGTGTGGTCTGTGCTGAGCTGCCTATTCGCGCCCTGTGTATCAGCCCGCGGCCAGGTGTATGTGTTTGTGTGGTCTGTGCTGAGCTGCCTATTCCCGCCCTGTGTATCAGCCCGCGGCCAGGTGTATGTGTTTGTGTGGTCTATGCTGAACTGCCTATTCCCGCCCTGTGTATCAGCCCGCGGCGGGGTGTATATGTTTGTGTGGTCTGTGCTGAACTGCCTATTCCCGCCCTGTGTATCAGCCCGCGGCCAGGTGTACCTATGTGTTTGTGTGGTCTGTGCTGAACTGCCTATTCCCGCCCTGTGTATCAGCCCGCGGCTAGTGGCCTGTCTGTGTGACGGTAGCTGACGGCTGGCGTTCCCACATGTGTTTTTAGGTATTGGACGCCATCGGAGCGCCAGGTGCCGGCCGGTGACAGGCCACGCGCCCTGCAGGGATCCAACACCCGCCATATACGCCTGATCAGCACTAAATGCCAGAACAGAACTATTGTATTCATACAGCGGAAGGTCACTGAACTTCTCAACACTGAGCGCTGCTGGGTGATAATATATTCTCCATAAAATTAGGTCGATTTTTTTTAATAGACTAGCTTTCAGAGCAGAAGGAGAAAAAGGAGAATTTAGCTGCAAAAGTTCAGCGGGTCCGTCAAAGCCGGAAACAGCTTGCTCCACCAAACTCACCTCAACTGCGTGCGGCAGCTCCCACCAACCGCAGACCAAGCCCGTACTATGCTGTAGTAGTACCATCCCCAGAGCACTCGAGTCTCATAATATCGAGCGCTGGAGGGAGCCGAACCCGGACTCTCACTATACCTACCGGGAGTCCAGCACCTTACCTACAGGGTGTCCCAGAATTGACCGAACATTTAGTTCCTGTGTAAAAGTACGATTGCGCTCGATTCTAATTAGATACGAGCATTATACTTTTATAAGACATACCTTAACTATCGAGCTTGGAGACTGTGTGTTTTTGATGACCGGTGATGACTCGAGTCAGTTATCCAGAGTCAGCAAAGAGTCCCTTTGGCAATAGTCCCTTTTCGTTTTCAGCCTCAGCAAACAAAAGGCAATCATGGGGAATAAAGTGCAATTCTGAAGTTCGCAAACGGACTTTCGGCATGGTTCTTGCTGGAGAGCTCCAGTAGCTCATTTGCAAGCAGGCAGGGGTGAGCAAACCGCAGTTATATCAGCGAGCGAAGACAGAGAGAGCAAGAGATAACCTGATAACCCGATAACGGTTGAAAGCACACGCTAGCCTGAGATATTTCTCATTTTCCTCATCTGCCGATTTTACCATAGTCTATGTAGGGGAGACCCGGGAGGTATGGGCCATCGCTGTTTTGAAGAAGTGTTGCGTATTTTTACACATTTAACCGCGTAAACTGGCAGCAAGTTTGAGTCTACTCATATTTTCATTGAGCCGCCTGAGTTATGAGTCGAGTCAAGGGAACAATCAGCTCCTTATTTGAGTCAGAGTTGAGTCAGGGCTTTTTTATTCAGGCCTCCCTCCAACGGGCACTTGTGTCTCATTTACAGGAGGGCTCCTCCTCCTTCTGGCCCTTGTTCCCTGTAGTGACCGTAGCCTATGGGTACCGTCGTACTGAGTACCGAGTACTCGTTTCTCTATTGTGTCGTTTGCTGTCCGCCACTATCGAAATAAACAGTCTCCATCTTGGACAAATCGTGGCGTGTCGTGGCCCGGACCGTTCGAAGGAACTACACACCCAGGACACAATATTGTGGCGACGAGGATGAGATAAAACAGTCTCCATCTTGGACAAATCGTGGCGTGTCGTGGCCCGGACCGTTCGAAGGAACTACACACCCAGGACACTATATTGTGGCGACGAGTGGATACTTTTCGAACTTTTCACGTAATGTCGAGCGCGTGTGTTATATTTTCGTCAGTTTTCTTGCCTTCGGCGACGCAATGAGCGCCTTCGACGGGGGAGTGCCACTCCCCGCGCCGTTTCTGCCGCACCCTGGTGCGCCGCAAACGCCGTGGGCGACGTGGGAGCGGCGGTTCGGGAACTACTTAATTGCTCGCAGTGGCGACACCCCTCTACCAGCGGCCCAGAGACGTGCACTGCTACTCTGTGCAATCGGAGATGAGGCATATCGCGTTTACGAAAACTTGCCGACGCTGGTGAAGGACGAGCATGAGGACGACTATGACGTCACCATTCGCCAACTACGCAACCACTACGAACCCAAGACCAACGTCATCGTAGAACGGTTCCAGTTTCGGCAGAGAGGCCAGCAGTCACATGAGTCGACGGCAGACTACGCTGCAGTTCTGCATGGACTTGCCAAGAAGTGCAACTTCGGAGCGATGGAGGACGAGCTGATCAGGGACCAAATTGTGGAGAAGACCCCTCACAATGCTCTGCGTCAACGCCTTCTGCAGGAGCATGACCTAACACTGCCGAAGCTTCTCGGCATGGCAGAGGCTCATGAGCAGGCTCTGCAGCAGGCCGCTACTATTCAGCATGGTGTTGTCGCCGCTCCACCTGTTCCCGCTGTCGCAAAGGTGGAGACACGTAAAGGGCATCAGCAACCTGCCCAGGCCGTCAGCACCCCGTGCACCAACTGTGGACGTCACGATCACCCTGTCCGTGATCCCAGCTGCCCAGCCAGGCACATCGTCTGCCACATCTGCAACCGCCAGGGACACTTCGCTGCCTGGTGTCGCAGTCGCGACAACCCAGAACCCAGGGGTGGAGGTTCAAAACCCAAGAAACCAGGTCCTCGTGGCGGCAGATCTGGGTCCAGCCGTTCCAGACCACAAGCTGTCAGAGAACTGCACGTTCTGGCTTGTGAACAGGGCAAGTCAACAAAGCTGTCATGTCCAGTGACCATCACAGCCGGTGACATCACACGTGAGGGTGTGCATCTTCAAGTGGATACAGGTGCCACCTGTTCGCTTCTAAGCCTGCAGCGTGCCAAGCAGCTGTTCAAGGGTGTCAGCTACGAGCCTACTTCTGCTAACCTGTACGGTTTCGGCCACAACACAACCCCATTCAAGTTCAGAGGTGAAAAAATGTCTACGCTGTCTCCGACTGTATAAGCTGGCATACTGGCTCTGTCTCCAGGCAAATTGTAAACTTTTTGGCTGAGCAGCGCCAGCACACGAAGCCCTTATTTATATGTACAACCTTAACAATTTTCTGGCTTTGAAAGATAATCAAGCTCTGTTAGATAAAAAATGAAGCATTTTCAAGAGCTGAAAAAGGATAAAAAAGTGGAAACAGAATATTTTGGATTTTGGAGTTGCTGTTGGGGGAGTATTCCTTTTATACCTTCAAAAACTTTCTGTCATCTGTCTGCCATCTGGACCCAACAATACCCACTGGAAGACTGGTTGTGTTTATGCTGTGTTCCCATGCTTTTGAACCGCAGTTATCACGAATGCCGCAAACAAATGCGAAGGGTGTATTTGTTTCTTGGGTAGAGTAATGGCTAGCCTTTATGCTTTAATCGCGAGGTCAACTCAAAACGATTGAACTGATGGTTTACCAATGCTTATAGAGCTTGTGTCAGAGTCAGACCAGACAAAATCAGCTAAGCCCTGCGTCAGTCGTCCTGGACCAACCGTTCGATTACGGACGGTCCGCGTGGCGTTCGCATTGGGGTCCGTCTGATGTAAGACGCCGTTGTACCATTTTATGGCACACAGATGTTACGGTCGGTCCCTGGCCCTTGGGCAATGGGCAGCAGTGTGGAGGCTGTGAGGGGATCGGCTAGACGTGTGTGCTCAATGCTGGTGGCTGCTCTCCTTCATCTACACAAAGGCAAGGTAATTGAAATTTTCAACTTACTTTGCTGTTAAATCAGCAATACTTATGATTACAATGGGTGTTGTTTTCCTAAACTAAAAGCCGGACGCAAGTATCAGCTTTCAAAAGGACTATCCCTTCGGAGGTCGGCACTTCAAACAAATCGCAAGAATTACCTACGAACAAATTTAGGTTAGCAGGGCGTCTAAAACAGACAAAAAAGCAGGCTAGCACTGCACTTGTGGGCATCATTACCGGGTGTTGTTCCGAAACAGAGGGCTAGTCAATGAGCAACACGCAAATGCCTTAATTAGCCTACCAACACTCCAATTAAAAGCAAGTTATATTTGGGTAACGTCGCGCCTGCCTTAAAATGACTCGCGGATACTCCAGGCAAATTATTTATACCAACCTTGTTTTTAAAATGCAATGCTGCCCGTCGTCCCCGGATACCCCTCCCCACCCCTGCCGCCCGCTCCCCGGCCCGTCCGCCACGGCCGCCCGTGGCCTCGGGATCCGCCGACCTTCAGTGTAGGTGGCGCTACTGCCAACTGCCGGACCGGGGCCTTACCAGCCGCCATGGTCACCGTTGGCACTTGGCAGGTCGAGAAATACAGAAATGCAAGGGACTGATTAGGCTACTGGAATGAAGTTATGCACTGATAATGAAAACGTCATCTCGCATATCCTTACTATTTCAAAGCTGTAATTACCTTTGAATAAATGCTTCCTCTGCCACGCAGAAATTGAAGGCATGGGAATAAGCCAATGAAAATAGCACAATTACATTGATATAAGCACCAATGAAGACTTGGATTGTTTTAAATCATTGAGATGCATGCACATATTTAGACTGATCTCTGGCCTTACCTGAAAGTGTCAGCAAGATGGGTGCTTTGATATAGATCACAAAGATTTAATATTTGTAAAATCAGAATGATGACTTTGGAGTATTTGCTCTTCACTTCCAACAGGATGTCCAGAAATGGTTCATTAATATAGGTAAATGCTTGTTGCAAATGAGGCTGTGCAGTGTGCATCTCAATCTGCAAATATCAAACCATGTGGTTTGTATAATGGGTACATAGAAACAAATTTTAGACATCATGGGCTGATGCTAGGACAAGGAACAACATCAAGCTTAAATAACACTTCTGATGAATACTCAAACTAAAATTATTGAAATTCAAAGAGAAGTGTAATCAGCAACAGAGATCACTTCAGCTTTGTCTACTTCCTTTTGAAATATTTGTAGAATAAGAATGCATTCAATGTATTGTACCACCTTCACATGCATTCCTAAATTGCAATCAGAACTGAACTTTGAACTGAAATATAAAACAGATGAAAGGAAAATGACTGTTTCTGTATCCACTATATAATAAAAATCATTCACAAGGGATTTTGTACAATATATGTTACTTTTGTTTGAAAAGTTCAATATTTCCTCAGCACCTAGTGATTCCTCAAAGTTTTGATAATTATTCCCCAACCTCAACCATTGTCTTATTTTAGTCTTACCTAGGTAGATCCAACCCAGATCCAACTACTCTCTTCCGTCACTTCAAGCACACTTCACTGTCGCTGACTCGCTACTATCCCAACCCAACGGCATTTTTAGAAGCTGCGCCGCGTTGTCACAAGTGCGCAGGGTTTGTGCTAGCGTTTTCGCTACTGAAAATTTTTCGTGTCTCCGGAGACAGCCGTAAGGTCTAGTTTCACGGCAAGCGTCAAAGAGAATCGTCTTTATGGATTCCGCCCGGCTCTAGGAGTCATCACCTTCTCACCACCTTCTGTCTCCGGTGTCTCCGGGGCAGCCTATGTATACTGTGTAGTGCTCTGTGCTATGGAGTATGAAGTTCCCGTAATGAACTAAGACTCAATATGATTGATTTTTTTTTGCGAGCATCAAAGAAAAACGAGAAGAAATTTGCGACAACAATGAAAGAGATTATTAGATTTATTAAAGTGGTTGTGTCTCCGACGACCTCCCTTTATTGGATTGACTCTGTCTCCAACACCGGTTGGAGAGTTGACACTTATTTTCACCTCTGTTCAAGTTCATGGCACCCTCCCTGCCATCATCAGCTACAACGAGCGCAAGGTCAACGCATCATTCTACCTGGTGGACACGCCCCGCCTGGAGGCCATCATGGGTATGGATGTGCTGAGTGCCCTGGGATTAACTCTGCACCCAGCTTCGCACACCATCTTCGATCTGGATGAGCAGACCTCTGCGTCAGAGGAGCAACTTCATCTCCCAGCTATCGACGGATACGCTCACAGGATCCAGCTGAAGCCTGACGCTGTGCCTAAAGCGTTCAAGCTTCGTCGTCTGCCTCTCTCAGTCCGTGAGGAGGTGTCAGCTGAGCTCAATCGACTTCTCCGAGCTGACGTCATCGAACGAGCAGACGCGTCTCAGTGGGTCAGCCCACTGGCTGTCACTCGCAAGAAGGATGGCAAACTTCGCATCTGCACTGATCTTCGATGGCCGAACTCTCAGATCATCGCAGAGGTACATCCACTTCCCACCATAGATGACCTGGAGCGGAACCTACGAGGCACCGTCTACAGCAGGATAGACCTGAAGTCCGCGTACTTCCAACTCTGCCTGCATGAAGATTCCCGAGACATCACTGCATTCCTCACCATGGACGGCCTCTTCCGCTGGAAACGAGTTCCCATGGGTCTCGTCAGTTCTGGCTCTGCGTTCCAGAAGCTCCTGGACCAAGTCCTGGACGGGATCGCAGGATGTGGTCACTACCTCGACGACATCTTGGTGTCCGGGCGCACTCAGTCCGAGCACGACGCCCGCCTGCATGCCGTCCTGGCCCGGCTTCGCGCAGCTCGCATCACAGTGAACATGCAGAAGTCCGTCTTCTCCCAGCCTGAGGTCGACTTCTGTGGTCACCGCCTGACGAAGCACGGAGTCGCACCTCTGCAGTCAGCAATCAGGGCTGTGGTGGATGCACCACACCCCACCGACCTCAAGGAGCTACGGAGCTTCATCGGCACCACCGCCTGGTTCAGCAGGTTCATCCCCGCCTACTCCACGGTGGTCCAGCCGCTGACTGTGATGTTGAAGAAGGACATCCCCTTCGAGTGGGGCCCAGCCGCGGAACACGCCTTCAACAGCGTCAAGAGCCTGATCTCCTCCAGTCCGGTGATGATGCCGTTCTCGCCGGCACTGGACACCATCGTCACCACGGACGCCAGTGACCGTGGGGCAGGCGCCGTCCTGACTCAGATCCAGGCGGACGGACAGGAGCGCCCAGTGGCCTACTGGTCACGTTCCTTCACAGATGCTGAAGCGAAGTACTCAGTCTCCGAAAAAGAAGCGCTGAGTGCTGTGAATGCCATCGAGCACTGGCGGATCTACCTCTGGGGCCGCCACTTCACCCTACGAACCGACCACTCCGCGCTGACAACGCTGCTGTCGCCTCAGTCAGCCAACCGCGCAGGAGCTCGGATCGCCAGATGGCAGTCACGACTGATGTCGTACTCTTATACCGTCCAGTACAAGCCTGGCCACAGTATCCCGGTCGCGGACACTCTCTCGCGACTACCGCTCCCAGACACCACTGCCGCTGAGACTGACAGTGACGATGTCGTCGCACTCGTCACTGATGCCGCTGCCGACGTCCTCACGGAGGAGGACATCCGAGCCGCCTCAGCCGCTGACCCGGTGATGGAGAAGCTGCGTTCTACAATCCGCTTCGGCTGGCCCGACACGGCTCGCAAGTGCGCGCCGGACCTTCGCGATTACTTCGCCGTGCGCCACGAACTCCAGTGCAGAGAAGATGGCATCGTCATGCGCGAACCTGAACGGGTCGTCGTCCCCGAGACGCTGCGCAGCAGGTACCTGGAGCTGGCACACGCCGGTCACCAAGGCGTTGTCCGGTCGAAACAACTCCTGAGAGACCTGGCGTGGTGGCCCGGCATGGCGACTGCTGCTGCCGCTCTCGTGAAGAACTGCCACGTGTGCTGTTCAAAGGACTCGGTGCTCGCCCAGCAGGCGCGACCAGCACCACTACAGCCCGTCCAGCTGCCTGACCGACCATGGTCCAAGCTCGGTATTGACATCGTGGGACCCATCTCCGCTGCGCCTCCTGCCGCACGGTTCGCGATCGTCGTTACCGATTACTACAGCAAGTGGCCAGAGATAGCTCTGACATCCACAGTCGAGACTGATGACATCATCAGGATGCTCAGCGCTCTCTGGGCTCGAGAAGGTTTCTGTGATGAAATCATCAGTGACAACGGTCCACAGTTCTCAAGTGAGAAGTTCCGCACGTACCTGCAGCGTCGCGGCATCACGCACCACCGGTCATCACTCTACTGGCCGCGTGGCAACGCTGCAGTCGAGCGGCTAAATCGAGAAGTCAAGAGCTGGCTGCAGGAAGCCGCCCAGTTGAGGCTCAGGACAGCAGACTCCTTCTCCAACCACGTCACACAGCGACTCGCGCTGTATCGGACGACCCCCCACTGTAGCACCGGTGAGGCGCCGTCAGTACTGCTGCATGGACGCCGGATGCGTCTGAATCTACCAGTCGTAGAGGAAGCAGCACACGACAAGAGGATTTCCGACCGTGTCGCCAAACAACAGCGCCGAAACAAACGGAACTACGCTGCACGTAAAGGTGTGAAGCGGCCTGGTCTGCGGCCGGGTGACCTGGTCCGTGTGAAGAAGCCAGGACACGTCCCGAAGGATCAAAGTCGATTCTCGGCTCCAGTCCCAGTCACCCAGCAGCTCGGCCCAGCAACCTACCTGCTGGCTGACGGCACCAGAAGGAACGCGGCTCATCTGGCTAGCGTGCCTAGTGGCAGCCAGGATGGAACCGGACCTGCCACACCGCCGTCAGGCACAGCCGGACCCGTCACTCCGCTGCTGTCTCAGCCGCCGACTCAGCGGTCACCGACTCTGCTGCTGGACCAGCCGCCAGCGCCACCGCCGGAGACAGCACCGCCATCTACAGGACGAACAACGCCCCCGCGATCACAGCCAGCCACCGCCGACGCTGATAGCGCGGACCGTGCCGTGCCTGACTCTGATCTGGCTGAACACGAGCTGCCGAGATCGTCGTTCGGTCGCCGTCGGTTCGTGCCTGTGAGGCTGCGCTGATTGTATTTTCAGAACCACAGTGTCTGATTGTTTCGTTTCAGTTATTGGCTCTAACCGCGTTTCTGTATTAGTTTAACAGCTTCGAGTATAAGCTGTGTCGTGTCTATTTGGTGTATCATCCGGTGTCAATTATGTTCAACTTTATTGAGGTGGCGGATGTAGTGACCGTAGCCTATGGGTACCGTCGTACTGAGTACCGAGTACTCGTTTCTCTATTGTGTCGTTTGCTGTCCGCCACTATCGAAATAAACAGTCTCCATCTTGGACAAATCGTGGCGTGTCGTGGCCCGGACCGTTCGAAGGAACTACACACCCAGGACACTATATTCCCCCGCCCCCCAGGCTACGGCTGAAGTGGGAGCCTACCCCACACCTGGTGACACAGCCGGGGTCGACGCCCGCGGAACGGGCGGAACCGGGAATCGAACCCGAATCCGGCACCGCCCGCACCGCGGGTCGACGCCCTAACCGACTGCGCCACCAGGGCCGTCGGTTCCTGAAGTTGAATGATGACTGAGTCGGCAATTTTTTTTAGTCGAGCACAACCCTGCGTCCCTGTCACTATACCTCCACCCACCCCTCCCACTGCTCCCCGCCGCGCCGGCCAGAAGCCCCGCGGTCAACCCCTCCCCACTTCTGACCCGCCCGATTCTCGCCTGTCAGAGAAAGAGCCTCTATTGGTCGATGCTGGTGTCCCGATCATCAGTGGCTACACTCTTCTGGAGGGTTCAGCAATGACACTTACTATGGCCGGAGTATGGCGTGGTACGCACGTGCGTACTGCGTAGGTTTACAACTCTCTGTTCAGTGGCGGTCACAGAGATTGAACTCCGGGGTGCCCCGAATGGTGTGAATATTCCCGTTTTCGATTATAGCGAGCATTCTGTGGCAGGTGGAACTGTGACGAGTTAGAGAAAGTTGTCCAACTGGAACACGAATCTGTGCGATACTTGCCTTTGATGATAGGCCTCACCATTAATGATTGGTGCTAGCCGCTAGGTTTTGTCCGATTACAGTATATGCGCTCATTACTTCAGCGGTGACCTGTACGTACCAAAAAGCAAACACAGACTAAAACTTGCAACATAATTCTCATGCTCAGCCTTTTATTGAGGTTATAGACCTAGACGACAGATTAAAAAAAAAGAAATTTACACAAAAAGAAAGAAAGAAAGAGAACAGAACACCCAACATAGGAAAAGCCAATAGCGCGCCGGCAGATGGCGCGCCGGTCGGCTCCGTTCGGCAGATGGCGCGCCGGTCGGCTCCGTTCGGCAGATGGCGCGCCGGTCGGCTCCGTTCGGCAGATGGCGCGTCGGTCGGCTCCGTTCAGAGGTGGCAGGTGTGGCGGGTGGGGCACGCCGCGCCGTTCAGAAGTTGCAGAATGTTTGGCACGTGGCGAACGCAGAGGCGACGTCGGACACCGCCGACCGGCTGTGCTCCGGCAAACTGGGGAAACACGCACGCGGGAGGGCCTGATCAGCTGCCGGCTGCTGACTCGCTGTGCAGTGCGTATTCTTGCCACGCCTGCACACGGAGGGCCGGTCGGAGCCGGGTGGTCTGCCCGAGCGGCTCGGGCCCCCATCATCATCTTCATCATCATCATCATCATCATCATCGTCATCATCATCATTTATTCTTATGTCCATCCATGCCCCATGGTAAATGGCTTTTCGGGACAAGTGTCAAAGTACCTACATACCAAGATAAAATACACATACGAAAGCTAATAGTAACACTAAAATGCACAACACCCATACCAAAGCACAAAGTATATGTTTAAAGGCACATTAGTGACACATTCATATCAGTCGCGTCCCCTCAGCCAGTGTCTCGCTGTTTTGCGACACAGCGCTGCTGAGCGAGCCCCTGTCACACCGGCAGGGGCGCGATTCCATTGGGCGGGTGCGCGGGAAAAGAAGAACTTCCGCGCATGCTCAGCTCACTGTTTACCCTGGGAATTTGCAGAGCAGGGTACCCGCCATAGCGGCTCTGGTGTCCCTGGTGGAGACATCGGGTCGGTGCACAATGCCCTGGGTTACGTTGGACGGCGCTTGGGGGTGATAAAGCAAATAATGCACCTGTGCAACATCACGCTCAGTGATCATTGAGTCAATGGATGGCCAGTTCAGGTCTACCATCAGTGGTGATACATGGGCAGACCGTCTGGTGCCCTTCACCACCTGCGCACAGTGGTTGATAACCTTTTGCAAAGGGTGGCCGGTATCTTGGTACACCCGGCCCACACCGTGGAACAATACGAAATATGTGGAAAAATCAGCGTTTCTACTATCATTTTTTTCACCATCTCGGGCAATTTGCCGGTCATTTTTGAGAGACCACCGAGTGTGGCATAGCAGCGCCGCACCACGCTTGAGACGTGAGCTTCGAATGTGAGACGTGAGTCCTCCGTCTACTGTCATCCCCAACACTTTGACTGTTGGAGAAGGTTTGATAGTAGCATTGCCAAAACGAACAGATAATTGAGACGGAGATCGTCTTCTGGTAGATTTGATAAGAGTTAGACCAGTTTTGTTGGGATTGATTTTCAAACAATATTCATCAAACCAACAATGCGCAGTGGCCACGGTGCACTCAACAGTCGCTTGAAGTTCCGTCAAATTATTGGACAATCCATGGTGTAAGAACTGCACATCATCGGCGTACATAACAATTTTTGAGCCATCCATATACCTAAGACACCAAGTCGTTTGTAAATACTGAAGTACTGCAGTGACTCCCGTACAATTGGCGCCCAGTCCCACGTGTACAATTGGCGCCCAGTCCCACCTGTACAGTGGGCGCCCAGTCCCACCTGTACAGTGGGCGCTCCACCTGTAGGGGAGCCTGGGGTAAGATGCCCCATATAGTTTATTTTGCTAAATATCTTTAGTCCCACATCACTTGAATGGTCAACTTTGTGCTCAGTGCGTTGTTGAGATATTTTACTTTAAATTCCACCCCTGATTCATTCACTTGTGTTTGGACTCCAAGCTATTAATAGAAAAACACAATTCTAACGAATAGTGTTTGTCTCATGAAACAACAACCTGCGGTTATTCGCTGCCAACCATGCAAAACATAGCCAGGAGAACGACCGCTCCGGTTGTTTTTCAATAGAAAAACACAATTCTAACGAATAGTGTTTGTCTAAAGAAACAACAACCTGCGGTTAGGAAGTGATTTGTAAAGCAAATGCAAATGGGGCATTTTGCCCCACCCCAGGGCAAAACGCCCCTCGGCCTGGGGCAAGAAGCCCCATACTCTAGGTTAAAAATTAAGCATGGTAACTGGCTAAATCTTATATGAGAGATCCGCTAGACCTCTGGAGGCCTATGTTGCTGAAGTTAGCACCTCCCATCCTATCAGGTGTTCAGCTATGACACTATTGTATGACCAGGTTTTTCACCTGCCTTATTACGAGCGAGCGAGCGCAGCGAGCGAAGCGAAGTCTTTTCAATATAACGGAAAAATCTCAGTATGAGCGGCCCGGCCCGGCCCGGCCCGGCCTGTAACGCTTTTGAGAGGCTTATATCTCAGCAACCGCTGGACCGATTGGCCTGCGGTCTTTTTGCTGGGTAGCCCCATCCCTTCTACCCCGTAATTGACTACTTTTGATCCAACTCAGTGACCTGGCACGTGCCACGTGAAAAGTCAAGGGTGTTCAAGCTGTTTTGCAAAAGTAGTGATTTTGAGAGGCTCATATCTCAGCAGCCGCTTGGGCGATTGTCTCGCGGTAATTTTTGTAGGGTAGCTGCATCCCTTCTACTAAAGGTCGGGTACCGTTGATCTATTTGAGTGACCCCCACTGCACGTGCAAAATATAAAAAGAAGAGGCGCCAAATTTGTTCCCATTTCAAAAACTCGGTAATTACTGGGGCGATTTCGCTGAAACTTGGCATACAGGTAGGCACCCAACAGGCAATGCGATCCCATGTGTTGCGGTTAGGGTGCTACTGCACGTGCGCACGTGCAGGGGGCGCTTCCAGATCTCGAGAACGGCTGGGCCGATTGCGCTCAAATTTGGTATACGGATGGGGACCGGTTAGTAGGGTGCCGTGCAAAAGTCAGTTTGGACCCCGTTCGCACGTGCGCACGTGCAGAATGCCGCTTCCAGATCTCAGGAACGGCTGGGCCGATCGCGTTCAAATTTGGCACACCGCTAGCGATCGGTTAGAAGGGTACTTTGCACAAGCCTGTTGGAAGTACCCTCTCGCCCTTCCGCACGTGCAGGGCTCACTATCTCGCTCGCTCGTTCTTCGCCCAAAAGGCGTTTTTACTGGTAAGACCAAATAATGAATTATGGTAACGTAAATGTTACCGAAATACTGCCTTTGCCATCCAGTTGCTGATAAAAATACACAAAAATGCATAGATGTTCGCCGCTGCCGAGCATTAGGAAGTGAGTGGTACGAACAACACATGAGGTACAACGCCCCTTGTGACTTTTTGCCCGCGACCTACTGGGGCGCTTAACCCCGTCACGTAGTTCGGTCAGAGAACAACGCCGTGCGCTCAAGCAAGGTATAATAAGCCTGGCAAAAGCGTCCGCACGGCCGGCCGCTCAATACTCAGAAATTTCCGGCATCTACCAAAGACTACGCTCGCTTCGCTCGCTCCGTAACAATGTCTTTCCAGTTTCATCATATAGTGGTCATATAGTATACGTTTTTATAGAAGAGAGGATGTTTCCTCAGAACCTTGTCAGTTCCGAAAACATCGGTGAGGCGCTTTACCTCGGCGGGGCGACTTGTCCCGGGCTACCCTACAGTCAGCGCACCGCTCCACCTGTCCAGTCGGCGCCCCGTCTCACCTGTACAGTCGGGTCAGCCGGCGGGCCGGTCGGGGCTCGAAGTCGGCCTGGTACTGGGAGCTGTGTCCGCCCAGAGAGCCGGGCGGCGGCACCGTGTCGGCCAGCGCGCACGAGCCGCACACGGACGCCATGAACCGGTCATAGAAGCTGTGCCGGTTCCCTGCCGACGCCGACACGCCGGACACTCGTCAATACACACACGCACACCCATGCACACACGCACGCACACCCACGCACATACGCACGCGCGCGCACGCACGCACGCACGACACACACGCACACGCACACGCACACGCACACACATACGACCCCCCCCCCACACACACACATACACACACACACACACACACACACACACACACACACACACACACACACACACACACACACACACACCACACACACACACACACACACAAACACACACACCGGGCGACGGCGCAAACCGGCGGCTACTCACTGAGCGCACCAGAGACACTCGGCGACCGTTACATCTACTAGGCAATGGGAATGTTACCAACCGTTTGACAAACAATCGGTATTAAAACTCCCCGGCCCGTATATTAGCAACCGTTTCACGACGGTTATCTGTAATCTAAATACACATTTGGACTTTAGTGCGATTTAGTTAGCCCGCGCCCCGCGGGGGTCCTGGATTTCCAGTCCAGGGTTGTGCTTGACTCATGAGTTGAGTCAGAAATTTGACTCAATTCTGCTTCAAATGAGTCAGATTTGAGTCGAGTCGGCTAAAATGCTGAGCTGTTGAGTTGAGTCAGAGTTGAGTCGAACAAAAATATTAAGGTGTTGAGTTGAGTCAGGGTTGAGTCAGTAAAATAACTGACATTGAGTTGAGTCAAACATTTAGGAACATGACGCAACTTTCTAGAAACATATATATATATATATATATATATATATATATATATATATATATATATATATATATATATATATATATATATATATATATATACATAGATATAATATATATATATATATATATATATATATATATATATATATATATATATATATATATATATATATATATATATTAGAGCACTTCACGGATAGGCTTTTCAGGATCCGGCCCGGCCCATATCCGGCAAGTCATATCCAGATCCGCCCATTATCCGTGTTTCTTTTAATTTCAAAATCCGGCCCGCCCATGGCCCGTATCTCAGCCATACATCCAAAAAATATCCATAATAATCCGTTTCATTACAAACCGGTTGTGAGACTATCAGCATATCGCCATAAGATCCAAACGTTGGACACTAGGAAGCTATCAAATTGTAATAACAGCAATCTTAGCCACTGCAAAATACATTTTGTGGTAAAAGCTGCATTGCTAAGGATAGGGGTAACACATTGACATGGACCTCAGCATTTCACAAGGTTGGCTATCATTAGAATTGTTAAGAATCTACTGTGGTCTATAAAAGGAAGAGTACTTATTCATATAGCAAAACCACAATCAATTAGTAAGTCAAATGGTAGGTAATAATAAGTATAATACAATGAATAAATAAAGTTTCATGACATTGGCAACATTCTATATGGGAAAAGGCAGAATCAAAACACCTCAAAACACATTGCTTGGAAACTAGCCTTGGAATGTGGTCTGACACACTCTACAAAGAATTTGACACTGAAAACCCAGCTGAAAAGGTAGGTATTAAATAGCCTTGAGCCTGACTTTGGTCCTAAAATGAAAGGAAGATAAGTTAAACCGGCATTTTGTCGTATCAACAAGACGACACAACACAATACACAGACAAAATTGACGATAGTGGCGCAAAAAAGCAAGCAAGGATTGATTTTTTTAAGATCCGCTCTCTCTTTATGAAATAGGCGAGCTGATGACGTAATATTGATTCGTTCACCCTTTAAGTTGAATTTCTGATCAGAAAATATTTTTTGGCGTCATTTACACTGAAAATGTTGATAACATCAGAATTTAATATCGTCTTGGATCGTTTTTATTTCTAAAAAAAATCATCCACGAGGCATTGCGCCAAGTTAAAAACTTTTTTTGCAGCGTTTTATTCAGCTGGTTAAAAGCATCTGTTATTGCGCATGTGTTTCTAACCTTGCGCAGTGTTTGTTGCTGTCTGGAAGATTGAAAAATTCGAGAACGCATTATCGTTTTTATACTTATTAAATGGGGACTGTTCTCAGGACAAGTGAGTTATTAACACATTTTTTTACACGATTCATATCTTATTCAGGAACCAGCGAGCCATGGTGGATATGATGCCATGGCGGTTGTTCTCGCTTCCTCGGTTAGGAACATGGCTGAGTCTGCAGATTTTATGTTGTGACCACTGACCATCTATATTTAAAAATTTGGTTGGTGCTGCCATATACCTTACAGACTATCATGGCTCACAAAGGTATGCTTATAAATCTCATGTAAATCAATTAATACTTCTGCTGCAGTGCCTAACAAGTTAAGTTACCTAATTCTTAACATGAATATTGAATGCTACAATTTTATCCGTTCTGATCCGTGTTCAACATTCAATTCCCAAATCCGGCCCGCCCAGATCCGTTCTATTTTTCCAAATTTGGGATCCAATCCTATCCGGTCCACGGATTTATCCGTGGATAACGGATTTATCCGGCCCATGAAGTGCTCTAATATATATATATATATATATATATATATATATATATATATATATATATATATATATATATATATATATATATATATATATATATATATATATATATATATATATATATATATATAGCATTTCACTTGGTATATTGCCACCCAAATTTCTAGCTAAATTAAGTGAAAAATGCCAGCTTTGTTGGATAAGCTTATATGATAGCTTTATCATGATCAACCATACCATGTTTCAGCATCGCAGCTTGTCTAAAACATGGATAACTAATAAAAAGTTTGAACCGCTTCAAAATTGACCATTTCAATGGCTCTGATAAAATTGAGCGCAGTTAGGTATTGAGTGACAACTTATCCGTCAGTGCTGGTTATATTGTTATAGGTAGGACCATCAATTATCTTTCACATAGGTATGCAATAAAAATGATTGCTTTCTTCGTAAAATATCACTGGAGATCACCCTAAAACATTTTCGAGAAAAGTGGCTGTCACCCTGCTCGGCAAAGTCATCCCCGTTTACGGTACCTGTTGTGCTTCCTCGCTGGTCTCCCAGTGCCCTCGGCTCTCCCCCCGGACTGCCCCCCCCCCTCCCCCTCGGCTGGCTCACCCCGTGTCCGCGTCCACGGCGGGCAGGTGCCGGGGCTGGTGAAGTCGCTGCTGGTGATGGACTGCTGGTAAATGGGCGTGTTGGTCGGCTCCTGGCTGGTCTTCAGCGGCGCGCAGCGGCCCGAGTAGCGACCCAGGTCACGCGGCTGTCCAGACAGACACCCACACAGGCGCGTGTTAGAGCCTCCATGACTTCGAAGCAATCGCTTATCAGTTGATCAATCCATAGGCGCGGGAGCCGGGGGGGGGGGGGGGCAGTGGGGGCAGCTAGCCCCCCCCCCCAACTCTGGGGCCGTGGGGGCGATGCCCCACAGCTTTGAGACGGAATACCACACTTTTTTGCAAATGTTTTCTTTTTTGTTGAAAAAGCCAAGGGATGAAAACAAGTGGCCTAAAACCGGTGAGAAAACTAGATTTGGGGGTAGCCTGGGTTGATTTCTATTATGGTGTGCCCCCCCCCCCCCCAGTCTGAACGTAGTTCCCGCGCCCCTGGATCAATCTATCACACGTTAATTTCCGCTAAAATATTAAACAAAATTTATGACATGAAAATGCGTGTTGAAAAACATACAATTTGCAATTCAACTATAGCGTGGTCCCAAAGGACCTACCAAGCTAACACGCCGCACATATTTTATTCATTTTCATTCAATCAGTTCATTTTTATTCATACTTTTTTACAGACCAACGTGACCAAGGAATGTTTTAGGTAATGAAAATTAACGTCTGATATCTCGACAGATTATCCAAATTATATCAACGATTGCTGCCTAAGCTGGAAACCTACTAAACATAATTTGACCAAATTTGCACCTAATGTGCACTTGTGCACCAAATGTGTAGGCACGGGGCACCTACCAGACAGACGTGAAAACCGCTATTGTGAGCTCACTGCGACCCGTGTGATCATGGTACCTACTGTGAGCTCTGTGACCCGTGTGCCCAGTGCTGTGAGCTGGCTGGTGCGCCGCCCATGCAGTGCTGTGAGCTCTGTGGCTGGTATCGCTCGTCAGCCCAGTGCTCATCATCACTGTACTCTAATGATGCCGCAAGGCGAAATATCAGTATTATATATATATATATATATATATATATATATATATATATATATATATATATATATATATATATATATATATATATATATATATATATATGGGGCATTCCACGTCAAGTGAGACAAAAAATGACCATTTTGAACCTCACCTCCTCCGATTTTTGCGAAAGTTTGTGAAACTACTCATCTATATGTGAAAAGAAAGGAGACATGTTTCTGTAAAGATATGACGTCACGTTTCAGAGATACACGTCATCAAACATTGACTTAGGCAAGGCACATTATCATCTTTAAAGCGTCATAACATTGAAGTTTTAGACATAGCACCATGAGACAAAGTGTGAAATGGAGGGAATACATCAGGCTTTAATTTGAGGATGACAGTATTGACGTAATAAGCTAATTAATGAACTAAATTAAAATTCAAAAAATAAATTTTGATTTTCTGAAAAATGGGTACCCTTCGATTTTGCTGATTTTTACATATTTTATTCTCCCATACATTAGCTCCATCGTATAAAAAATCCAGAATGGGCCGACGTCTACGTAACTGTCTTTTGGACTTCGTAATGTCTGGCACTCGCGTATTTCGTTTTAGCAACCAAGGAGAGGCGCTACCCGGAGATGCTTCTTTGATCTTTCTACCCAAAACCAAAGCAAACCTAGCCTGACCTGACGTGACCTGACCTGATCTAACACGCGTAAATATGTACAGCCAGTTGCCGACTGGCCAAATGCTACCCAAATGCCCGGAGAATGCAATTGGGCATTCTCCGGGCAGCGCCTCTCTTTGGTTGCAAAAAGGAAATACGCCTGACTCTCCCAGCGCTAGGGGAGAAAGGCCCGGTTTAGCCAAAAAAGGTATTAAAAAACGGAATTTGAATTGTAGGTGGGGCGGTGGGGAACTTTATCGTGTGCCAATTTCATGGCCCTAGATCAATATCTTCAAGATCAAATGAGGTTAATCGTGATGAAATTTGCTATAGTGACTATTTTGCGTTTATACGCCCATAGCTCTAAGAGTTACCGGCCGATTTTCCTATTTCTTCCTTTATACGACATTTGTAGTGTTATGAGAATCTCTAGTTAATCTAACCATAAATTTGGCAGTTAGTGGCCTGCTAAGAGTAAGAAGATGTCGCCGGCAAAGACGGGGATCGGCCGACGCGGGAAACGTTTCAGTCACAGATTGTGTTTGCGCCCTAATAATTCAATTTTTACCAGTTGATTTTCGTATTTATTTGAATATTAGATTGCCTGTACATTTTTAAGCCTTCACACAAAATTTGACACGAATCGATCATAATCAGCGGTAAGAAGCGCAGTGCAAAGATGGAACCGTCGCGCGCCGGCACAGTCTACCATTCAGGCGGCAACGGCCGGCGCCGGCCGCCGCGCCGCTCCGGCAAGATGTTTGACTTTACACCGTTATTGCTAGAAAAGTTGTGGACCGATTTACCTATTGCTTGCACGGGAGGATTTGCAATTCAATTCTGGACAGATGCTGAAAGTTTGGCGTTAATATGATAATTATGGCGTGAGTTACTGGCGAAAAACAGGTGGGGTTGGCGAAATCAGCCCCTTCCATCGCCCGTGCTACGTTGCACTACTTGCTTGTTGCTATATCATCTAAAGTTATCGTTGGCCCACTCTAATTTTCTCAGCACGTATGCCTTACGTGTAGTGGAATACAATATCTAAATTTGAGCAAAATCAAAGGGTACCCATTTTTCACAAATTAGATTTTAAAAAATTAATTCAAAATAAGATAAATTCAAAATCACCAAAAAATGTTAAAATTACCAAATTTAACTAGCATAACTTCTTATGTACACGTTTCAGTTTGTTTGAAATTAATAGCTTCAAAAATGTTGAAGCTATAGATCTTTCAAGATTGCAATACACGTCCAATTCTGCTAAAAAAGCAGAAGTTTAGCGGCTTGTATCTCTGTAGCCCGAGGGCATATGACAAAATCCTTTGACCCTCAGAGGTTTCACCCAATAGCCAACAAGTATACCAAGGATTTTGGCTGTCCCGGTTGACATGGAATGCCCCATATATATATATATATATATATATATATATATATATATATATATATATATATATATATATATATATATATATATATATATAGGGAGTTGGAAATGATGAAAAAGTGGAAAGTTAAAGTGATTCAGTGACCCAGTATAGTGAAGTGTAAGTGTATATGTATCTTCGTCACCTGCAATATTTGTAACATGGCTATTTTCAATATTTTGCAAATCAAAATAGCTACACTGACGACCATGTTTAGCGGTACTTTTTAGTACATTCCTTGAAAATGATTGTCTCAAATACAATCGAAACGCGTCGGAAAACATGACTTAAATGAGTATAACCGATATAATCAATACAGTTCCTGATTCAATCAAGAAAACTTTCAACAAGATACAAAAACTTAACAGAAAACTATCTAAAGCCAAAACTGCGGTGCTGTTTAACGACATATGCCTCAAAGAAAATATCCTTCCCAAATACTCTGATATATATATGTTACAGGCAAAGTGAAAACTCGGGCATTTTGCAAAATGCCTAGGCAATTTGCAAAATGCCTGACTGGCTAGGCATTTTGTAAAATGCCCAGGCAATTTGCAAAATGCCTGACCGGCCAGGCATTTTGCAAAATGCCTAGGCAGTTTGCAAACTGCCTGGCCCACCAGGCATTTTGCAAACTGCCTGAAATTATTTTCTCAGGCAGTTTGCAAAATGCCTGACATCGAACTCACACCAGCGACGATGCGTAAGCATCATTGTAAGTGCCGCCAACAGGGGTTAATCACAAGCGATACGCACCAAGTGGGAGGACACACAGTGAGACATTCTCCGGGTAGCGCTGCCGAGTTCAAGGTCACTGAGCCCCAGGCAGCGCGAGCGGCCCGGCCGCCGCGCCGGCTACCGGGCGCCCGGCGCGGTTTTATCGGTAAACACGCGTTAAACACGGTTATGTTTCTAAGAGCCTTGATGACTCTGGAAACACTTTGTGTGGATATTGATCAGAAAAGAATGTTCTTTCGATGTATGGTAGCTTGGTTGGCGAGCCACACGTCTACATTATCAATGCATTGTGACTGTGTAAAGATGAACATGCCCGTTGCATGTAAAACTTGTAATTTCTAAGCGTCTTTTTATTACAAAGGTGTGCACGTGGGTCGTGGATGACCAAAAACTTGCTTTTCTGGAAAAGCGGAAAAGCCACATGTTCTTGTTGTCTATGGAATGGATCTCATCTCATTCCAATGCATTGCCATTGTTTTTTAAATGCTGTTTTTCCTAAAATGTACATACCAAAAATGGCTGATTTCTCAAGATATAGACTATTTCTTTCCACGTGACACGTGATTAACAAAGATGTTTATTGGATACGCTTGTCTCTGTTCTATCGATCGCTGGCAACCCCGTGTCGCTGCGGCCCTCTCTTGCTGTGATGTAAATAAGCACGGGAAGCGAAGAATGTCGGGTCAATATTCGGCCGGTCGCCGCGTTTTTCCGCGCCCATGTTTCTCTGCGCCATGCTCCGCGCCCCATCGCAGCATTCCTACACACGAACGGCTACAACTCCGTATGCGAAAATTATGGGGAGACGTTGGCTCAATCTACACCATTCAGTAGTGGTTTCATCTCGACGGAAGTGGCACAAGACGTAGGTATATTCGTAAATATTGAATGTGTTTGGGGCTCAGGCACATGGGAGCGACATGGTTAACGCCTGTGGTAAACAAAAACGGTAAAATAAATCAATCACAACTCAGGCATTTTGCAAAATGCCTGACCCGCCAGGCATTTTGTAAACTGCCTAGGCAGTTTGCAAAATGCCTGGTGGGTCAGGCAGTTTGCAAACTGCCTAGGCATTTCGCAAAATGCCTGGCGGTCAGGCATTTTGCAAATTGCCTGGGCATTTTGCAAAATGCCTAGCCGGTCAGGCATTTTGCAAATTGCCTAGGCATTTTGCAAAATGCCCGAGTTTTCACTTTGCCTGTAACATATATATATATATATATATATATATATATATATATATATATATATATATATATATTTATATTATA